CTGCACACGAAAAAAAGCCACCCCCCCCCCCCCACTCTTATACTTTTCAGCCAGATATTAGCACGTACACTTAAAACTTGAAATTTAATAATTATTTTTCTGTCCCTTAAACTGTCAGGTAACAGTGAGTTGTGACTTCTGAGGTCTATGAGTGACAATAAAAATGTATCTATGCATGTTTTCCCTTTGTATCTGGAAGGGGTGGACTTGTTTTCTGAAGTCACACATCCGAAAGCTATTAATCCTTTATCTGTGGGAAATGTTAATATCTGAATTTACTGTTTTTGGTCTATACTTAACACAGAATTTATTAAAATATTAACACATTATCATTCAGGATAGTTTATTTAACTATTCTGAGCAATTATAGAATTCTTATTGAATATATTTTAATTTTTTATTGACGTTTACCTTTTAAAATGGTGTCATATCAACTTTTTAATGCTAAGCATCAGCAGTTAGTTTGATAAACATATCTATTATTGATGCTTTACCGTCATTTAAAACTTTTTTGGCCTATCTAGAAGTACATTTCATTCTTACACAGTCATCGTTATTACAATGTTAATTATTTGTGTTTCGTTGTACATTTTTAAATTAAGAGAGATAAGCAAACTTAAATGTTTTATGTGTTAATATTCTAGTTAATAATATTTTATACTAATCTGATGATTAATACTTAAAAGTCTAAAATATTAAAGATAAAAATTTAAATCCAGAGTATATATTTAAAAAAAAACTAATCAGATGTTTGGTGGATGACTCTGTAGTCTTATAGCTAAGAAAATATAGCATATGTAATATAACATTTTTTGAAAAAAGATGTGAGCTCTAATTCCTCATACTGTGTGTATATATGTGTATATATATATATATATATACATATATATATATATATTTAATAATAGAGAAATCAAGTCTCAATTTAAAATGGTGTCATATCAACTTTTTAATGCTAAGCATCAGCAGTTAGTTTGATAAACATATCTATTATTGATGCTTTACCGTCATTTAAAACTTTTTTGGCCTATCTAGAAGTACATTTCATTCTTACACAGTCATCGTTATTACAATGTTAATTATTTGTGTTTCGTTGTACATTTTTAAATTAAGAGAGATAAGCAAACTTAAATGTTTTATGTGTTAATATTCTAGTTAATAATATTTTATACTAATCTGATGATTAATAGTTAAAAGTCTAAAATATTAAAGATAAAAATTTAAATCCAGAGTATATATTTAAAAAAAAACTAATCAGATGTTTGGTGGATGACTCTGTAGTCTTATAGCTAAGAAAATATAGCATATGTAATATAACATTTTTTGAAAAAAGATGTGAGCTCTAATTCCTCATACTGTGTGTATATATGTGTATATATATATATATATATACATATATATATATATATTTAATAATAGAGAAATAATAGCCAAGTCTCAAATTCAGCACATAGATCATATGATAATATTGTTGGATGTCAGTATAATTCATTCCAGTGCATCTGTATATTAACCTTAGTTTTGACATTTTTTTATTAATCAAAGTATTTTATAGTTGACATTCAATTTTAACTTTGTGTTCACTACGAAATTTCATTTTTAAATACATTTTGGAACATCAAGGAAGCCAATCAAAAGGAACATGTGGAGAAGTAAGTGCGAAAAACAAGATCATTAGTATGACCAAAAAGCAGCTGAAATTTCAGAATTTAACATGATCGAATATTATGCTTAATAGCGAATTTAAATATTTAAATAGCTATTACCAATGCCAGTGTGTCAGTTTTCGATTGTTTTATGACTTCTCACTTTCCTTTGTAATTATTTCGCTTAGGGAGCAGGACATTTAACAATGCAAGATCTCAGACTGTGTTTTCAGGATCAGAGTTAGGGAATGAATAGGAGTGCTGCTGGAGAGTAGTTATACATTTAGGTGGTAGGAGCCATCTCTTTTATAGATTGATTTGATTTGAAGGAAAGCCTCTGGTGTCAAGGGGGCGGTGTAAATACCTCAAGAGTGATGTGCTCTGTTTGGGCGATCAATACCAGCCCCATGACTCTACTTCTGGCTACCTTCTAGTTAAAAACAAATTTTTTAATTCTGACAATTTAATTGCCCTTCCCAAGTTCACATTAACTTGCTTGAGGAAAAGCGCTTTAGGTAATTTTTCAAATGGAGACCCTCCAAAGTGGTTATTTATAAAAGTCATGTTGTAATGGGAGATTTCTTAAACTTTGCAGAAACCGAGTTGTATTTTAAAATTTTAAACTAATACTTCTGATCAAAGATGCTGTATGGAAATTAGCAGCAGCAAGCAAAGGTGGCAGGTATTTGATTCCCGAGGGCATCGCCTTTCATTTTATCGTTTTAAAATTTATTAGAAATCAGTTGTAATGATTCAAACCTTCTCTAGTACAGAGCCCAGTTGGCAGTTATTTATTATCAGAGCATTTGGGATCTGGAGGGAACCTCAGGCTAAAGTCTAGTCTAACTTTATTCTTTACAGACAAGGAAACTGAGGAAACACAGGGCCAGCATCGTTCTCGGTGGATCAAGGGTTAAACCGGGCTCAGTGAGGACTGGTCAGAGTCTCAGTCTTCTAAAATTCGTTGTTAAATATAATGGGAATTTTACATTCAAATTAAAGTCATGGAAAAAATGTTTTAAATGGTTGGAAGATTGATTTTAATTCAAGTACTAAAACAGTCTAGCAGTAGCATATTGAATTCAAGACGTTTTTATTTTGTAGAAAATGTGAATGCTAATAGAAATGTAAGAGGAAGATTTAGCACAGTTTAACAAGAAGCTTGTAAGCATGTGGAGGTTTCCAAGTAACTCATTTGGTTTTCTAGAGATGACAGATCATGTAAAGATCCTAAATCCCGCCATTTTCTCCTAATTTCAGTGATGCCAGGAACTACTGCTTCCTTTTTAGGATGAATGGCATATTCTAGGTTCTCTATCAAAAAGATTGGAGAAGCCATGATTGTCAGGTGATGTTTTTAGCTCGTCCTCCTGATCATCCTTTGTAATTTCATTGACTGTAACAGAGTAAATATTTTTTACTTGGAACCCTGTGTAACAGCATGAACTATTGGGTGGTCAGAAAAGTCATGATGCATTTGCTTAGAAAAAAATACATCATGACTTTTGCAACAACCCAGTATAAAGAGAAATTACTTCGATTAATATAATAGGTGGTTATAAGATTTTTTTGTGTGTGTGGCCTGTTCAGAACACAGTTACGGTACATGCTGTGGGCATACTAAGTGGATACCCATGAGTATTTTCTGTACATTTGCAATCACTTTGTTGTTCTAGTGGTAACCTGCTTTTTTTTTAAACCAAGTTGCTAATTCTTAAAAGATAAGCTTTTGTCTTGTTTTGTTTGGTTTGGCCTTTTTTAGCATGAACTGCTGATGCTCTGGTTTACCGGCTCAGTGGATATTTGAAAGAGTACCTGTATTGCATGGGCATGTTCTTTTGTTCTTTTCCCACTTCAGTTATACTTACCTAGCCTGCATTGGTTAGATAGGTAGGGGGACTCATGCCCCGAGCTAGCTCTGCACAACTAGAACTTCACGTTTTGAGGACCAGTCTCTCTCCTAGGTCTCTTGTTGCTATCGGCTTCAGTCAGTGAATCAAAAGACATGTTTTAAACATCATGTTTTTGACAGATTTCTTCAATTTCACCTAACAGTTGTGTTTTAATGATTAAATGTGGGCAAATATTAAAAAAATTAAAAAGGGAGATCAGATGAAAGCGATCAGATAATAGAGGCAAGAAAAATTTCCCCAGCGATCCTGTTTAGTAACAATTTCATTAGCTAGCAAATACCCAAATTGGGCTATAAAATGGAAACAAAAGAACATTCTAACTCCATCCAATGAAGCTTTTAGACCAGGGAAGAAAATATCACAGAAAATAGCAGGAGAGTGGATACTTGTTTGTAACGGTTGATTGACTATAAAGCAAATGAAAGTTAAAAATATACTTTCCCCCAGCACGTATAAACATGATAATTATCTTTTATTTTATGCTTGGGAAAGTTTTGCTCTAATTTTGAGGGAGGGGAAAAAAAAGTTCTTTAGCAGAAAGCTATTAGGCCACTGAGAATTGAGCACCAGCCCATGTGGTGTGTATTAGAGTACTGTTGGTAATTTTACTGCTGCTAACTTAAAATCCTCAAGGGGGAGTTAATTACAGGAAAACCATTCCAAATATCAGTAAGCTGCATATTTTCCATGACAAGAGGTTTTTCAGTTGAGGTTGAACAATTCCAGAATGTGAGCTTGTAAAAATAAGTAAATAAATAAATTAAAGTGGGTGTGTGTGTGCATACAGTACACCTTTAGTACTTAACATTTTCTTCGTAAAATTTTAATTCCAAAGTTACTGGGTTTGACTATGTCAGGATGATGAGAACACATTTAAACATTTTAAAATTCCAGTTGGAAGGGATAACAAATCATGTTTTTAGTGGTTATTTAAGTGAATGTGAATTTATTTATGGAACTACTTTAAACCATTGCATGTTGCCACTGGGGACACTCATTTTTTGTAAATGTTTGCAGATTAAAGGGTTTTTCTTCTTCTTCTTCTTCTTTTCAAATAAGCTCCGTGTATTTCAGGACAGGTACAGCAATAATCAGAGAAAGTCATGTGCAAGGTTGAATTTAGTGTCTCTCGTGTGTTTGGTGTATTCTCATCAAACTTAATTTTGGCAATGAGTTATTTTTTATTCTTGTTTATTATGATCTGATTTAACTTCCTAGTTGCACCATGAGAAATGTAAGAATTAGCAAATGCACTGATAACTCACCTACAGTTCATATTTGCACAGCAGTGTATGTTTTTTTCCCTTAAACCTAAGAGCTGGTGTGACAGAGTGGACAAGAGCTCACATGTTAGCACTGCACCACTGGCCATTTTTACATCCTGACTCCAGGGTTTATGAGCTTTGTTACTTTGGACAAGTGATGTAACCCCTGAGTCTGGTTTTGTATCTGAAAATGAGGAATTAACACAGATTTTTTTGAGAGTTAAGTGAGTTAAGTGGTTTTAAAAAATATTTAATTTTATTAACATGATTTTAATCTGCTACAGAAGCACGTGTGTTCACCAGAAAAGGGGGGAGGGAGTGGGGAGAGAAAATGAGAAAGCAAACAGGCCAGGTCTGGAACTTGAACTGCAGTCAGCCATGTGGGAGTCCAGCACCTCAACCACTATACCACCTGCTGGCCCCATGAAGTGTTTTTAATACTCCCGAGTAGATAGTAAGGGATAAGTAATAACTAGCCTTTGAAGACAGAATTACAAATCCAGAGAATGTATTACAAATGAATTATGAATGAAGAGAATGTTTCATACTGATCGTGCATTAAAATATGACAAATGCAAATTTAGTATAATTTATAAGAAAATCTAGAAGATGGTCTCCCTTTTTTTGGTTTCTTAGTGGACAGTTTAGATTTAGTAAAGGTGATAGTAAACTGGAAAAGATCTTACTTATTCGGGCTAAGAGTAGAGTTTCTGATTTGTCGGGTAAGGAAATATAAACACCTGAAATAAAAACACGATATAAAAACATACTGTTATTTTCCTAAAAATTAGTAACTGGTATACTTCTTTGCAGCTTTTAAAAAATATAAAGCCATTTTAATTAGTTACATGAAAGTAATCTTTTCAAATATTTATTGATACCTTCAGATGTGTCTGTATATTACTATGCTGTATGCAGTTATGAAAGAAAATGAGATTTTATTTACCCACCAAGTGTATTCAAGGCTAAATATAAAAAGCTTCTCCCGTAACTTCCTTATTTAATAGAAAACCCTTATATTCTTTTAAGTAGTGCCATAAATACTGTGTTGAAGTGATACACAGGGTGAATTCATAATAAATTGTAAAAAAAAAAAAGCAACAAAAAACTTTTACCTTTAACATTCATAACCATGCCTTTTAAACCCAAAGACGCTTTGATCTGCCAGGTTAACCTGGTAACACACGTGCAGTTGTTTAACTATTTAGGATAAATTATATAGGTAAATATTAGTCATGTTACTGTGGACTGACTGCTTCATTCTTCCTGGGCTTGGGCCTTGTGCTTGGGCAGAAACTGCAGTGGAGCGAAAAGCCCAGTTCTTGGCTTTCCTCCTCAGGAGCGGCAGCCTGGGTGCATCAGGTGCTTCCCCTCTGCGATAGCCCTGGCTGGAAACCCAGTGTCAGAGTTGCATGCTAGAGACTGCTTCCCCTCCTGTGACATCTTTAAAAACAGTGATAACGATTAGGAAAAGAGACACACAGGCGCGTTTGCAATCCTAACCCAAGGAGAAAGCTGCTCAAAGCCAGGGGAGTCCTCCTGGGGGATGTGAGATTTGGAAGTTGCAGCGTTTTCTCCTCTCAGTTGCACACGGAGCTGCTGCTTCGCTCCCTGGGCTCTGTGGCCTGTCCCTCCTCCCCCTTGTCATGGTGCCTGGAGCCTGGTGCTGCGGCTCTCCACAGGCTGCTCCAGTGCAGGCCGCATGAGGCCCTGTGCCCAGATGCCTCTCCTCCTGGCTCTCTGTTATGTTTGCCCCCGGGGTGCCTTAGCCCTTTCGTTTACACATGCCGAGGAGGTAGTGTTTGAGCCTCCAGCTCAGTTTCCACGCTGCCTTGCTCTCGGATATTTGGATAGGGCCGAAGGGGCGGGGGGCGTGCATGTGTGAAAATGTGGGCGAGGGCAGCTTACAGGGAGGCAGGGGGAGGGAGGCGAGAGGAAGAGCAGGCAGCCTGAGCTGGACTGCTTGATTAGTGTCAGAGGGGCCTCCAGTGTCTGGCCTAATCCTCATTGGCTGGGAACCGGGTTTTTTTCCCAGCTCTGGCCCTTCCAGGCTGGAGTCTCCTCCGCAGCCACTCCCTGACTGTTTCAGATGTCCATCACTGTGCAATGAATCAGTGCTGCTGATTTTCCGTCCTGGAGTAGATATTGTTAATAAACTTAGCTTTTTATTTTTCCTGCGAATGAGTTTGAAAAAAAAAAGAAAGAAAGAAAGAAAAAAAAAGTGCTGCTTCGAGCCCTCTCCTGCCCTAACTCTAAGTAAATAAATGGTTTGGTGAGCGGCACAGGGGTCAGATTTAATGGGATTAGGTGCTTGTTCAGGGTAACATTAGACCGGGCTGGGGAATGGAGTTTGGCAGAAGGAGCATGCGTGCCGCTCTGGCCTCTCCCCACCGCGGAGGGCTCTGCCCGGCTCTGGCTCTGCGGGTGGAGTGTCCACCTACCCTCACCTCAGCCCCTGCCCTGCCCAACTGCTCTCCTCTGAGCTGATGGACAGCTTTGTTTCCTTTTCATTTCAGCCGCAGATGAAGATATCCTTGCTAAAGGAAAACAGTCCATCAAGAGTCAGGCTTTAGGAAATCAGAACTCGGAAAACGAGATCCTCCTGGAAGGCGACGACGATACTCTGTCATCCGTGGATGAGAAAGATTTAGAGAATCTTGCGGGTAAATTCAGTGCTTGTGCAGCTATTTCAGCCAGCTCTGGGGCAATAGCATCTAATTAGTTTTTTCAGCTGCGACCACTAACACTACCAGGTTGCACCCACTATTATAGTGATTAGAGGGTTTTTTTCCCCCTTCTAAACATTTTCTCCCTCATTCTACAGTTTCTCTTTAATTTTTCTTTTCTGTTCAGTCTCCTTATCTTGCTCAGCTTTTATCTTTTGGAATACTTTTCACTGAAAAAATAACAACAATAATAATAAAGTTTAAAAGCAGCACCAATGAAAGAACATTGCTCCATTCAGGGCAGTTAGCAAATCTCTGTGACATGGGTGCTGTTAAGATTCTGCCAGTGGTTTTGCAGATAAGCTTGGAGGCGATGGGCTACTCGCTGTGATAAACAAGCCATAGTGAACACACTGCATATACAGTTAACCATCTCAAAAAATCAATTCCAAGAAAGCTGTGGCTTTTCACGGGATTCCCATATTTTGCTTGATGGAGGAATTTTGATTTGCACTCTGCAGATTCTCAGTTTTACTTCCCTTCTGGGAAAAATTCTATTGTTCAGCCTTAAATTTTGGTCATTCATTAAATGGCTTTTTTTTTTTTCTTTAGTGCCTGTGGCTCTGTCCCTCAAGGAGGAAAGTCTGAAAGAATGTGCCGTTTTCGCA